AGGGTAGCTTGAAGGATAAATACAGAGTCTCTTGTGCTTCATTGACATCTATCTAGCGCAGCTACTAATTTTGGAGTAATAAATTATTTTTTTGCTACAATTGTAATAGTTTCATTTTTAGAATGTGTGTTCTCCGATACAATTGGTAAATTTGTTTGTAAATCTATCATTTCACCAGAACTGCAAGATGAAACATCCTGCATATGTGCATTTAATTCTGAAGAAATTGATGGAGTTAAATACTTTATTTTCCTATTTTCTTTTGCAATAGACTTAAGTCGTGCTCTTTCCTCCTTATCTGCTAACTTTTTATCCACACCAGCTAAGTGTCCAGGTCGTCCAGGCTCTCTTTGGCGTTGCAGGAATATCTTGTCATCCTCAATTTTAATTAATTTATTTGCATCCGCATGAGCAATATCAAAAAAAATAATCTAAATTTTTTATGAATGCTTGCTCACGTTGTTGAAATAAATCGTTTGCTTTATTTGCATTCTTCTGCAGGTCTCTCCAAATGTGATACAAGTCAACAAGTTTTTTTACACAGTTTGGTATTGATTTTGTTNAAGTTTTTTTACACAGTTTGGTATTGATTTTGTTGGTATTCGCGCCTTTGTCCAAAATATAATACACTCACGGTTAATTTTACTTCACGCATATTATAAAATAAAACAGCAAGTACTTGACCATTAGAAGGAAGTTTTGAACCCGTAATTTGATGTTTTATGTCACCTATTAAGAATATTTCTTTTTTGGAACTCCTCAATACTAGTGACATATTTATTGATAAATAAAACTTTCACTAAATATAATAATTAAACTTGATATTTTATACTTCAAAATAACATAAAAATTAAAACTGACGCTACGTTAAATTAAAAATATAAAATAGGCTGCACGGAGGTAAACAAAATCAATGTAATAACGCAGGCGACTAAAGTAGTATAATAAAGAATTCATTATCATAAGTCGTAATCTTTTCATGATTTGTGGAAATATTTAATAATAGCAAAACAATTTTACTCTATATGTAGATAATACAATAATATTATCACCATATTTCATAAGAAATTTTGTTATAACATAACAGATGATAAACGAAATTAACCAATAATACTCATATATTTTGTAAAAATAAATATTAATCATGTTAAAACAATAAAACGATCGCCCTAATGAAAATTTTACTCATTACTTTTTGTTTAGAAAATTAAAATTTGAACAATTTTTATATGAAATATTACTTCTTATTATAAACGATTCGTCAGATATGATGCAATATTCGTAAATATCCTAATTTCGACAGTTTTGCAAAGTAATACTTATTTTTCAATTTTTCTAGAAAACTAGTGGGTTTAGAAGAAATATTATAGAAACTTAAGTTATACACATCATTTATATCTACAATTTATTTCCTATATTTTTTTTTTGTGAGAGCACTAATTAACGAGTCAATAGCAAATAACTGAAAAACTGCCCCTTTTAACTAATTTTCAACCCCAAGTCGGCACGGGTTAAACTTGTTTGATCGACCTGAAATTTTTTTGTGTTCTTTTTCATATGTATACAAATAAATTTGAGGGGTATGCACTAAGCATTTCCGAAACTTCAAAATTCTGGGACACCCTGTATACTAAAATATCAAGTGTTGTTGTAGACTATAATATGCTAATACCTTGTAAATAAAACAAAATATGTTTTGTTTGATGTTACCAGTGGTGAACATACTTTAGTATGTCGAAGACCGTTACCTTAAAACTAGGGAGAATTATTAAAGGTAAAAAAAAATAATATACACGTGAAGATTGAAGATATTTAAGATACGCAATAAAAATATTTTTGTTGATTAAGAATATTAAGGGAACTTTATTAAATAATGACAGTTAAGTTAGTAGTGGACAAAACCCGATGGCAAAAACCACTCTGAAAATGAAGGGACAAAAGAAAAAAAAACAATTATTAAGACAAAAAAAAAATTTTTGGGGCATGTCTATAGTCGTCGTCATCAATATTGGACTCAATCAATTAACTATAGAAAGCGTCCTGAGGTGGTAGTTCCATTTCGTCTAATTTAGCCCAACTATCAGTGTACTCGTAGGGGTATACGCCCTTACGCATCACCAACGTCATGTCTTCCGAGCGGAACACCTTGGCCGTCTCCCGGAATTTAACGAAGTCAGGCGTCATTAGGTTACCGGCCAAGGTGCACAGGGAGGAGGCCATGAATTGGAAGGTGTCGACGAACCGTATGGAAAAGTTATTGGTCACGTGTTTCGTGAACAAAATATACTTCTCTTCGGAATTAGGTATGACCGAAATCCTTTGCTCGTCGTACCCCAATTCATTGACTATGAAATGTGCGTCATATTCTGAAAGGTTGTGCAAGAAGCACGGCACAAAATTGACAGTCTTCACTTTCCAACCTCTCCAAAATGGAGGGCTTCGCTGTTGCTTCTAAGGGGGTGGCCGCTACGATAATCAGTCCAATCTCCGCGCAATCTGATGCGAATACCCTCCCGGCTATTTCACCGGCGGGAGTGGCTTGGTCACCACCACTCCCTGTAGTCGCAGTACCAACCCCGTGGTTAGCTGCAGGAGCCTGCCTCAACACTCCTGCATTTGGTGCGATTTCAATTGATGACGACTCCTGGTTGGTACGCCCCCCACCAACCGCCGACACTGGGGCATCCGAATCCCCTGATGCAGTAGCCTTTCCTCCGTTCTGTGTCATTGTCATATGTAAATATGTTTTGAGGGGGTTGCCCTCATAGCCAGTCCCTCCGGCCAATGAGCGGCTAACTTCACTGGTTGCGTTGCCATAGTTCTCCATTCTCACCTAAACGCTACCGCTTATTCGTCAGTCCAAACGAATAGACTGCTTATTTCGCGGCTAATCTGTATATCTGCAGGCCGTTCCTCTATCCGCAATTTGAGGACGCGCCCGATTCCCCGAGCTAGGGAGATTGCGTTCGTGCTGACGTTTCGTAGCCCCGTAAAGCCCGATCACACCTTCACTGTAGTGCAGTGCAACGGGCCACTGTATAACCTTGAACACAGTCATTACCCCCCTCCCCCATCATGAGACCACGCCCTATGTATGACCTAGACCACGCCCCTCCCCAGCCCCTATAAAACGTGAGGGAGTGAGGCGGGGGCCCTAGAATCCTCTATTATCCTTACTAACGTTGTTTTGATTGATTCTTTTAGTTAAAGTAAATCATTAAAATTAATTAACTTTTGAATATTTCAATTCTAGAATATTTTTAAACACCAAAAGTTACTAAGAAATGATTACTATTATTTCTATTTCAGCCAACTATTTGGTTATAAATACAAAAAAAATATTGAGCTTTTCTGATAAATTTACTATAAATAGTAATTATAAAATTTCCTGACTGCATATTAATCTTAACAATACAATGTATTTAATTCTCATAAATTTTTTTATTTAATGATGTTAATTTCAAACTTGCAAATTGAGCTAAAAGTAATTGTAATAAATTAATTTTTTTTAATTATAAACTTTCACAAAAATCAACTTTTGACGATTAACAATATAGGTTAAATATGTCATTTTCCTTATTTTTAACATATTAATAATCAATATCAGTATTAATTTAAGACAATTTTTTTTTGTTCTTAATTATTTTTTTTTATATANTTTTTTTGTTCTTAATTATTTTTTTTTATATATAAATACTTATTTTTTAATAATAAGTAATAATATTAAAACTTAGAAGTGATAGAAAAAGTCTAATTGCACATTTGAAAACATCGAGAAATGTTGATTTTGAAAAGTACATTTTTGTTTCTGATGAAAGTTCCTTGTAGTACAGTGTATAAAACTTATAACTTTATTTTAAGTAACAAATATTTTTTATTAAAAAGTATTGCGTCAAACTCTTTAAATTTTTATACGCGTTAAAAATAAAGAAATATACTACTACTTTATTATTTTTATAATATCTCCGTAAAAATTACAATATTAAATTATTGAATATCAATTTCATACTAAATTTAATTACTAAAATTTTTATTTATTCATATAAAATAATTATAAATCAAATAACTAAATTTAAGGGAATATGAGTTATTGGTGTTTTTGAAATAATCTACCAATATCTTAAAATTAAACACTATCTACAGATTTGCATCGTAATGTTTTTTATGATAGTGATTTTAATCACTATCAGATATCATCTATACTTGTCCCAATTATGTCACGTCCATATTGTGCCGTGTCCCCACTGTGATACCGTTTTTTTTTATTTTAATCTATTCTAAATTTTGAATTTTTTTCAAACATTTTACATTTATTTTTAATATTTATTTATTATTTATTTAATTATAAAAATTACATTAATTACATTATTATTATAGCCCTCGAATACATTAACTATTAAANACAAAAAAATAAAAAAATAAAAAAACACATCATAGTAAAATTAATACCTTCTCAGCTTCGCATCGAAGCTAAAAAAAAAATTTACTAAATCAAATCTTTTTAAGTTGTCAGTGAATGCTGTGCCACCCTGTATAAATACTGTTTTATTAGTAGGGCAATAACAGCAATATAAGCTATTATTTTCGTTATAAATAACATCTGTTAATATTAAAATATATTAATTATAAGCTCACTAATAAGATTTTAAAATATACAGAGTGATTTTTTTAATATTTTTTATTTCATAAGTAGGTTAAATATTTATGTTGTCATTTAAAGTTATAAAGTTGACAATCTTTTATGAAATAAATGAATTAAAAAATACATAATAATTGATAAATTAAGATTAATTATAATTTTTTCCCAATTAAAAATATTTTTATATCTCATGTATAATATGTTGTTGGCCTTTATTTTCAATTCTTATAATTTATTTTAAGATTTCTAGATTGTAATTAATTGTTTATTTTATAAATATGTTACTTATGTAAATCTATGAATATCTTAGTAAAATTTTAATACTACAAAAGTAGAAAAATTATAACATGCAAATTGATGGGAACGTGATTATTTTATTAGGCGAAAATTTAATAGATATAGCACTAGTTTTCGGTATTGTACTGTTTTTTTATTTTCTTTTCGTAAAACAATGTTACGCTGTACGAATGATTTTCAATGATACCAAGGCATTCGTTAAAAATTTAATACCTCACATAATATATTTTGTAATATGTTGGCAAATGACTATTGCGTTGCAGAAGTTAATCACTTCCCATCGAACCCTAATTGATATTATCATGACAAATTATTTTACGTCAAAAGTTATTTTTACAATTATAATTGTAATAACGAAGCATTATTTATACAGAGCGCAATCTCATTACATTAAAATTCCCTTGTTCATTGGTGTTATACTTACCTCAGCTATTTCCGAATCGATGTGTCAAGATAAATATGAAGCTGAAGCCATCAATACAACTCTATTACTAATATTCTGGTTAACAGCACTAGTACTGGTAAGCCTAAGTAAATTAAAACACAACCTAAGTCATCTATACGCATAATTTTCTTAATGGAATTGTATTTTATTTTAAAATAATAATTTGAAATCTATTTTATTAATATTTATACATTATATCTGAAAAAGAACATCCAATTTTTTTTTGTCATGAAACTAGTATTTTTAATAAAATGACTAACTTGTGTAGTACGAAAAGTAAAGAATTTTTTATATAAACTCTTATCGGGACTTTACAAAACCAATTTTTATCTCTTTTGATATTTTTGTAATAAAAACTAAAGAAACTGAGTTAATTTATAAACTAATATTGTTAAAATATTAATTAATTTAGACAGCTCCTGAAAATACGTACCAAAGTCTTATGCTATCTGAACAAATTACGTGGAAAAGATGGTCTATAATATATGGTTTGACTACAAGTATATGCTATACATGGTTAAAATCATGTTACCAAGATATCATCTACACAGTGCTAAAAGTTCTAGTAGTACATATTCAGCTTGTCTTTTTGTGTGTAACGTACTTTTCAGATGGTCAGCAATTATTAAAAAATATCAGTGGTAGAGGATCATACAATGCAATGGCAGATTCAGTAGATCTATACTTTACATTGGATTCAATATTATCTCGAATCAATGTGTACAACATGCTGAAATTATAGTACAAAGACATTTGTGAAATACTAATAGAAAATCTAAAAAATCATATTGGTGTTCACCAAAATGATAAACTTAAACACAATTAACACTGAGCAAATTTTTAACTGAAAAAATTCACATATGTAGTCATCATATCATTAAAAATTTGAATAAAAATACATTTTATTACATAAAGCCTAAATGGATGTCAATATTATTGCTATTACATAAAAATAGATCTTAAGATTATTTTACACTTTCTAATTGGGAAGAAATAAAAAGAAGGGTTACAATTCATAAAAAATTCTTACTTATTAATGATCCACATAATATATTACTATTAAGATACCATTATTGTATACATAACCATTTCACTAAAAAATTCATTAAATTTAATTTTCTAAATTTTAATTTTTAGCTTCAATTCGAAGCTGAAAAGGTATTGATTATACTATGATGTATTTTTTTTTTGTGGCTGATACCACTTTTTCTCAGTTCTCACCAAATCGATTTCTTTTAACGATACGTCAAAAGATCACAAATCGAATCTATTTTTGCGATCTCTAATGAGATTTTTAAGATATTAGCTTCAATGAGAAGCTTAAAAAGTATAAATTTTACTATGATGTGTTTATTTTATTTTATTTTTTTGTGATTTTGAACGCTCAATCTTAGCTCTCGGTGGACAATTTTGATGAACAATACGTCAATAGATCACTAATAGTATTTAGTCGAAGAAATTACCCTCAATAATAGAAAAAATTTCCTAGTTCCCCGTATATGGGGGAAATCTCCAAAATATTACAAATTGAAAAATCATTATTATTTGACATTTTTTACTTAAAACTACCATAACTTTTTTAAAAATCACCTAATCAATGTAATTTTTTTTTCTAAATGCATGATGACTTTACTTTTTATTTTGTATATTTTTTTACAAACCTGACCCTTTACCTTACAACAGGGGTGGATTTAAAATGACAACTTTTGCACAAAAAAATACTTTTTCAACTTAACTTTTGAAAGTGTTCCGAAAAGTCGGACACTTTTATATATTTCTGAAATTAAAGCTAATGTAATATACTTTATCATAGAACAAAAATTCGTACTTTCTTTGGCTTCACATTGAAAATGTCTATTGAATGATATTTTTGTGTGAAAATTTCGCGATTTTATATTTTACATTTTTAAATTTATAATGCTATTAAACACTAACTAAAGATTTGCATCGAAGCGTTTTTTATGATAGTGATTTTAATCACTGTTATATATCATTATACTTGACCCAAGTTTGCCACGTCACCACTGTGCCGTGACCCCCCTGTGCTGGGTTTTTATATGATAAATTATAAAATATTAGAACTGGATTTAAAAACGTACTATATTAAACTATACAGGGTGATTTTTTTATCATAACCCACTCAATTACTTGCAGAATAATAATAATTTAAACATTTTTTTTTTTATTATCTTTAGTTACACATTATTCTTGAATTTTTAACTATGTAATACTTTTTAAGTTCATCCCTTATGCCTTGGAGGGGGGTCAACTTTGTTTTTTTAAATGGTAACACATATTTTTAATTTAATAAAATGTTTGAGGTTTTAATTCAATAATAAATGGCATTTGAATTTCTAATAAAACTCAATTTGTTTATTAAATATAAACATTTAAAGTTTCAATTTTTCGAGTTAATATATAGGTATAATACACAAGGGATTACAAATACAGGTAGCTAATTGGTTTTTTATGACATTGCTGTCTCAGTCACGGATTGTTTATTAGCAATTATGATTATCAATAGATATACTTTCTGTATTGTCAGTTAGTGTATTTATAAACTCATAACAATGTGCCTTACTACAATTGATAATAACAATGCTGTGTACCTGCTAATATCGATGTTATAAAAAACCAATTAGCTACCTGTATTTGTAATCCCTTGTGTATTATACCTGTATATTAATTCAAAAATTTGAAACTTTAAATGATTATATCTAATAAACGAATTAAGTTATATTAAAAATTCAAATGCCATTTACTATTAAATTAAAAACTCAAACATTTTATTAAATTAAAAATATGTGTTACCATTTAAAAAAACAAAGTTGACCCCCTTCCAAGGCATAAGGGATGAACTTAAAAAGTATTACATAGTTAAAAATTCAAGAATAATGTGTAACTAAAGATAATGAAAAAAAAAAATGTTTAAATTATTATTATTCTGCAAGTAATTGAGTGGGTTATGATAAAAAAATCACTCTGTATATGTGTCAGGCAGCAATTTTAAATAATAATGTTATATAAACATTAATATAAGATTGATGTAATATATTATAATAACGTTACAAATATATTAACTTAGCTGGGGTTCCCATAGGAGTACAATGAGTGTTTTGCAGCGTTATTATCGAAAACGGTCGAAATTTTAAAACGTTCATAAGTAAACAAGCAACATTTTAATCTAAAAAGTTTATATAAGGTGATCAATAATTAAGGTCGGGTTTCTATTGTTCTTATCGTTTATAACAATTGACCCGTTTCCTTATTTATGATTTTCATAGGTAAATGACACATTATAACATAATTATAATACATAATAATTTTTATTTTTATCTTTACATTTAAAATATTAAACAAGGATAGTTAAATTGGTTGAGCTTATAAAAAATACCTTCATTTTTGAATAAAGAAAAATATTAATTCTTAGTTTAGATAATTTTCTTTTTATCATATCTTGTGGTTGCTTGGACAACAGACAGTTATTGGTCAAACAATGTGTAGTACTGAATTAATACTAATTCCAATGAACTTTAGCGAGGTACATTATTTTTTATCGTGGTTTTAATATAATTAATTACAAGTATAAAATGGAAGTGATAACTCACGGAGAAGTTGATTTATTCATCGATTGTATCAATAAATCTAAATTGGAAGATCTCGGTTCAAAAAGGTATTATTTTTTTAATAACAATACGAAAATGTAAGTGTAAATTTTATTTTTTAAACGTTTATTAAAAGAACTGGCTAATTTACATTAGTATTAAGAAAAATATAGATAGGCGTCCAACTCTTAAAATTGTGAAGTATTATTTAGTAAATATAATTCTAACTGTATGTATATGATTATATGTATAGTCACCATAGTGTAAGAAGTGACTAAATGAAAATTATAATAGTTTATAATTAAATGTAGGGAAAATAATTAAATTACTAAAAATGTATATACTTTATACTTTTCTTTAAATTGTTTTCAAAATATCATAGCAAGTAAAAAAAATAAGTTCATAGTATGACAATTGAGCAAAAGGAGTGATAGTGTATAAACATTGGTAAAAGGAGCCAGGTGTGCAGTAAGTAAGGCGAAATTTAAGAGGTATGATGAGTTGGATGGTAGGCTATGTAATATTATGTTATCATTTATAATATTATAATATTATATTATGTTATTTTTTATACATGAATATATTATGAATTCGCAAGATCACCAAAACAGGGTTCCCTTATTTAAAAACATAAGTGTCAATATCTCAATAAAATATACTCTCACAAAAGTATACTTATTCAACAAAATCAAATAAGAGACAATGTTGAATTATATTTAGGATAAAATATAGAGTGTGTAGAATCTCTTATATATAATAAAACAATCATAGATTTTGTGTAATGGTTTCGTATTATTTATAATTAAACTTTTTTTTTTAAACGGTCCTATTTACTATATAACGCGTATTGTACAGCGAGTGAGACACATTGTGAACTCATAATTAACATTGGATTGTTTGAAATAATCGAAACATTACGTGGGATACAGAGGTAAGTACAAATTTAAATTTTCGTTATCAAATCATGAACATTCTATTGCGTAATAAACCATTAAAATAGGTAATAAAGTTTTGTAGAATAATTAACATCATTTATTCAATATTGTTCAAATCTGAGATCAATTTACTATTTTGTCACAACGTTTGTGTACATTTTTATTTATTTGATCATTACCCTCATGTATTTGAACTCCGTTTATTCACTCTTCTAGACTCATCTTTATTCATATCATTATATTCTTTACATCCTTACACATTTTGTCACATTTAAACATGTGTTATTCGCAATTTATTATCTTGTCTAATTTTCTATTATTCGGCCATATATACGCTACATTATATTTTTATTCTAACTAAAAACTAGCCCTCTAATTGTCTTTTGGTATATTATAAGCATTTACACCTTCAAATTTGAATCCACACCATTTTACTTTATTTTTATTCCTTTAACTGACATATAAAAATCATATACACCTACCAAACCACAACATTTTATTATTCTTATTTTCATTTAACCAACCACATATTTTATTTTATTTTTGGTTTATTACAGCTAAGAACAAAGAAAGGTGAAAAAGAAGTCTAGGTACTTGTAAGAGTAAGAAAAAAAGGTTTTATATTATCACTATGTAAGGCGTATAAAAAGTGTTGATAAGAGGGTGCTATCAATTGATGAAGATTTGATGAAAAGATGGAAAGAATATTTTATAAAATTACAGAATGAGGAGTATCCAAGAGGGACATTGGAGAATATCTCATAGAACGAACGACCAATAGATTTAATTGTTATGATAGGCTGTGGCATCGATGAAAAAGAATAAAGCAATAGGACTAGATGAAATATGGAATATATTAGTCGGTGTTGGCATATAGTGGTTGAAGGATCTTTTTAATAAAATCATATTAGAAGCGAAATGTCAAAAAAATTAATAGTGTTGTAGTATCAATATTTAAAAGCAAAGGATAGTGTGAAAATTATAGAAGTATAAAGCTTATAGGAGTCAAAATATGAAGATTTGGCAAAAGGTAATAGACAAAAGAATAAGAAGAGAAACATCAGTTACAAAAAATCAGTTTGGTCATTTGCCTGGAAAGTCAACAATGAAACCAGTGTTTTGTATAAGATAACTAATATAAAAGTATAGGAAATGGAAAAAGAGATGTGTTTGGTATTTATAGATTTAGAGATAGTGTATGATACAGTATCTCAAAAGGTTCTATAGTAGGCATTTATGAAGTCCTAAACAGTACATTAATACAATAGAGGATATGTATGATAGTACTTGTACCAGGGTAAAAACAGTCCCAGAGATAAGAATACTTAGATGGATGAGTTGAGTGACTAGAAAAGATAGTTGGTATTAAGGCGAGGAAAATGAATTAAAATATTTTATAATATTTCAAAAAATGCAGTGTCTCCTAATTTTATTTTTTTAATACAAATCAATTTAACTAGTATAATTAATCACACAAAATTAAAAATTTAACTTACTAAAAAAAGTTATTTAAATAAAAAAAAACCCAGAACAAGGGGGTCGCGGCACAGTGGTGACGTAACATAGTTGGATCAAGTATAATAATATCTGACAGTGATTAAAATCACTATCAAAATAAAACGCTTCGATGCAAATCTTTAGATAGTCTTTAATTTTAAAAAATTGGTGTATTATTCCAAAAGCTACATGACCGGCTAGTANAATTTTAAAAAATTGGTGTATTATTCCAAAAGCTACATGACCTGCTAGTTCATTATTAATATCCTAATTAAGATAAAGTATGTCGAATGAAAAAGGGATTATTAAAAAATATTATTTCTCATAAAAAAATAATGTTGATCCATACACTTTTTAATATGTTTTTAATATAATAAAATAAAGTCCGAAATTTTTTTTACCATAATAAATTATATTACATTAGCTTTAATTTAAGATATATATAAAAGTGTCAGACTTTCCGGAACATTTTCAAAAGTTAAGTTGAAATAGTTCTACTTTCTACATGCATTTTTTAGATTTGAAGCCCCCTCAAATATAGGGAAATGGTCCGATTTAAAAAAACAGTATGTCGAATGAAAGATGTATATAAATACTACTTCTCATGAAAAAATTGTATTGATCCATACATATTTTAAAAAGTTATAGCATTTTAAAGTAAAAAATATAAAATATAAAATCGAGAAATTTCACACAAAAATAGCATTTTGTAGCCATTTTCACCACGAAGACAAGTCCAGAGGTCAAATTTTTTTTTTGCATAATAAAGTAAATTACATTAGCTTTAATTTAAGATATATATAAAAGTGTCAGACTTTCCGGAACACTTTCAAAATTTAAGTTGAAAAAGTTGTCATTTTAAATCGCCCCCTGTGGACAGATAAAGGGTCAAATTTACAAAAAAAAATATACCAAATGAAAGGTAATGATATCATGCATCTATAAAATAAAATTATATTGATATATTCATTTTTAAAAAGTTATAGTAATTTTAAGTAAAAAAAATTGAAAAAATTTCGAAAATTAGCGATTTTTAAATTTGTAATTTTTTTGGAGGTTTCCCCCATTTACGGGGAACGAAGGAAAATTTTTCAATTTTGAAGGGTAATGTCTTCGACTAGATACAATTTTTGATCTTTTGACGTATCGTTGAAAGAAATCCTTTCGGTGAGAGCTGAGAAAAAGTGGTAACAGACACAAAAAAAAAAAACAATAAAAAAAATAAAAAAAAAAAGCACATCATAGTAAAACCAATACCATCTCAGCTTCGCATCGAAGCTAATAAATTTCAATGACAACAATTTTTTAAGTTTAATTTATAAAATGACATCTAGAAATTTTCAAAAAAAGTTTCAATTAATGTTATTTCTATATAAATAAAACAAACTAGAAATATTTTCTAAGCATGAAAATATTTCTAATTTGTAAAATTTATCATTATAAAGTATAAAATAAATTAAAAGTTGTTAGTTAGATCTATTCCACAATTTCAATAAAAATTTCTTTATTTTTTTTTTTTTTATGATAATGGAATTTTCAAAAAAATTATACTATTAAAACTATAAAAAATAGGAAGATCCTTTTCTTTCTTCTGAAAATTTTTGAAAATCGCACAGTATATATTTGATTGTATTATATCAACAATGCTTTCAATTTTTTTTTTTAGATGGTTTGAAAGTCATGATCGTTTACAAAAACTTAACCAACAAGCTACAATAGAAGCAGTTGAACATCGAGAAGAGTATATAAAAGATCAAATTATCAGTCATGGAAAAGTATACTATTATATTAAATGTTACCATATGCTAGGACGGATAGGCTTATTAATAAAATTTCTTCCCAACTTTTTTGACGACAAATGTTTTGTGATATTCCCAACTAATCCAACCAAACTTTTGTTATAAAGGAAAAGCACCTAATAGTCATAGATTAAGAATAATACAATAATTATAACTAATATTTAAAACGAATAAATGTTCTTTATAGGTGCCTGTTATTGTTTATGAATCTATTTGTATAGCTGTGTGGAGAGAAAAAGTATTGCCAGAACTGCTGCGTTTATCACGAAATCCCGATCAATCATTTACTATATACTTTGTTGTAAGATCAAAATTTATTCACTTGTAAAATCAATAAAATAAAACATAGTGACTAAATTCGCAAATGCTAAATTAAAAAAGTTATAGCTCTTTTAAGTAAAAAAACTGTAGCACAGTGGGGTCAAGGCACAGTGTAGACAAGGCATAGATGGGACAAGTATAGATGATATTTGACAGTGATTTAAATCACTATCATAAGAAACGCTTCGATGCAAATCTGTAGATAGTATTTCATTTTAAAAAAAAATTTGTTAAAATAGCATATTTTTGAATACGGTAGCCGTTTGCGTATAGAAGATAGATCGTCGGGACAAATTTTTTGTTTTCATTTTGTAGTACATAAAATAAGCTTTAATTTGATATATGTTTAAAGGACGCAGTATTTCCGGAACATTTTCAAAAATTAAGTTGAAAAAGTTATTTTTTGTAAAAAAGTTACTATTTTAAATCCCCCCAGTGAACAGAATAAGTGGTAGATTTCCAAAAAAAATTATATCAAATGAAAGGGAAATATCTAAGGTTTTAATACAAAAAAATATTATTTTTATTTGTTAATTTTTGAAAAAGTTATGGCAGTTTTAAGCACAAAAAACATCCCGATAAAAGGTAATTTTTATCGCAATCATTACATTTTTTTTTAATTTTCGACAGCCATTTGCACATAGAAGATAGATCGTCGGGACAAATTTTTTTTTTTTATTTTATAGTACATATAATAAGCTTTAATTTTATATATGTTTAAAGGACGCAGTATTTCCGGAACACTTTCAAAAGTTCAGTTGAAAAAGATCTATGTTTTTTACAATATTTCAAGTTTTGAACGCCCCCTATATAAGGGGAAATTGTCTAATTTTAATAAAATGTATTTCAGATGAAAGATGTACTTATAATGTATTTAGAAAAAAAAAAATTGTGCTGATACATACATTTTTCAAAAAGTTATAGCATTTTTAAGTTGAAAATTAAAAATCGAAAATCTAAAATTTTAACGCAAAAATAGCGTTTTTTTAACTACGGCAGCCGTTTAAATGTAGAAGAAAAAGTGTCGGGACAAATTTTTTTTTTT